ACTGATGGCATCAACCTTCCACATCTCCAGCAATTGTATCTGGTACACAAAGTGTCTTGGTTTGGTTATTAACACAGACATGATTGATTACGTTAATCCTTTACCACTACACTAATCCCCATGTAATAAACCAGGTACCTGGTTGCTTGTGACTAGTCTTACTTTCTGTCTAGGCCCAAAATGCTATCAAACGTCTTGAGGGTTTGGAGAAGTTAGAGCGCCTCACCACACTTCACCTTCGAGACAATCAGCTAGAGTCGCTCAACGGCCTCAGTCCCAGCATGAAGTGTCTTCAGTACCTCAATGCCAGGTGCATGCAGTCACATGGAAAACTTCAGTCCTGTGAGAAACTAAGTAGACACCATAATTAACTAGATGTAACTTGAAGTAATTGTGTATGACTTATTCAGTCTCTTACATTGTGGAGGAACTTTGGTTCACTTCTTTACAACATTGCTTCAGTTCGTTGGGGTTTGGGGGCATTTGTTTATGAACATCTCTCTTAAGGTTCTGTCAAAGCATTTCACTGAGACTGAAGTCTTGACTTTGACTGGGACATTGCAAAACTGTGGCAAAACATTTTCTTTTTCAGACATTCTGTTGTAGATTTGCTGCTGTGCTTGGGACTGTTGTCCTAAAATATTTTGGTGTTTCACTCAATGATTGCAAGGTGCCCAGGTCCTATGGCTACAAAACAGGCCCAAATCATCATTCTCCACCTCCATGATTGACAGTTGACCTGAGGTGTTTGTCCTAAGAAGTTATGTTTGGTTTTCACCAAAAATAGTGCTGTGCATTACAGGCAAACATTTTCACTTTTGTCATGTCTTTCCAAAGGACATTGTTTCACAAGTCTTCCGGTTTGTTCAATGCAGCTTTGCAAATCTAAGCTGTGTTGCCAAGTTTTCTTTTGTTTTTTTAGAAGGAACAGACTTTTTCTTGTCAACCCTTCCAATTAAGCTGTACTTGATCATTCTTTTTTGTCACAAATTAATCAACTCAGGGAATCAAGTGCAATTTGAGTAGTAGCTCTTGGCTGCTACTTACCCTCTCAATCCCAATGGAAGCAGTTATGTTGTACTTAGTTTTTCACAGCCCTGCATAAAGTCCTATGGATAACTTTATTTTTCACATGGCTGCAATGTGTTGTAACAATAAAGATCAGTCATACTAACGCTTCCAATAATCCAGTCAGTAAAAAACCAAACATGATATTAATCTGATAATTTGTCTTCTTTCTCCCTTAGAGGCAATGCAATCACAGATGCTGCTCTACGATACATCGGCGTTCTGTCACAAAGCCTTCGCGTGTTGGTTCTCTCTGGGAACCCAGTCGCGGAAAATTCCGAATACCGGATAAATGTGCTGACAGTAGTGCCACAGCTGGAAAGACTCGACAAAAATCCTGTCGTCCCCGAGGAGAGAGTTGAAGCCTGGGAAAGAATCAGGGTAACAAAAACCTAAATATTTTTTTTATTTTTGGTTTTATTTTTTACCCTTTTGATTTAGTGACATTGTGTAATTTCAGGAACTTCAAGAAGAGGAAATGTATGCACAATAAGATGTGTAACTATGGCCAGAATGGGGAAGTGTTGGACTGACTTCATTTGTTTAAAATGGCAGACCTGCTGTCTGTTGATGAATAACCAAATACACCTCTGTATGAAGTACTCTATGTTTGATACATTAGCTCAATCATCCATGACTTTGCACAAATAGTGTTTTTCATTTCCATACACTCATTGTTACAGCTGAGCTATTTTTAAACAATAAAGTTTTATTAAATGTTTATTTCTGATGTGTCTAAATGCAAAAATGACAACTGATGCAAGCTGAAGTGACTCTTGTAACTTGTGCCTTAGTACCCTGTAGTGTTCATAGACGGTGGTATTAGACAGACTCCGTGTGTTTCCCTGAGTAAGGATGAGAGAGCAAAATCTGCCGGCGGCTTCCTTGTTGGCAGCCATCCAGCTACAGTCTTAAGGGGACAGTGACATTATGGGCCTGATTTCGGAATCAGATCCTGCGTTTGTTTGACTGGCATTTAAACAAACCATCATCATTCCATAAATATAACCAGGACGTTAACGTCCCACTTGAAGAAAACATACATAGTAAGTTAAGAAAGCGGTAGCTGTTCGCACATCAGTGCAGTGCAGCTCCACTTGTGGATACCTGTATTTTCCATAGAATAGGGGTCCACGCTTTTGTTACTGTTATTCTGGAAATGTACTGATTTTAATGAAGCAACATCAGATATGTATCTTGAACACGCTGAGAGGGACTGACGAGGGCGGCTTGAACCGCCACTCTCCCTCCAATGGTTAGATTTGGTGGGCGTGGCTGTTCGAGGAAACAAAACCCGTCCTGTGCGACATCTCCCCCTCCTCTCCTGTACTTAACACCGGGCAGCTAGCAGCTCAGTGGCCCAGCGTTGACACGACGACACCGGGGAAGCAGCCTTCGCACTGAATTAACCACGATTACCACCTGAAGCAGACGACCATACGTCCATAAACCATGACTAGCTACCACAAACCCGATGAAAAGACTCTGCAAGGACTGAAGGACGTCGCTAACAAGCTCAGGATCAACTCCATCAAGGCAACATGCGCCTCTAACTCAGGGTAAGTTGTTCAGAGTTGCAAACATTAGCTGGAACATTAAATAAATCCTGTATACGATTAAAAACACACACATATATATAGTTTGTGCTATAAGGTTACTGGGGCGAAGGCGTGCACTACCTGTGGGCCTGGTTGCACGTGCTGCAGATTAAATTCACGCGGTTTCCGAGCCACGGCAAGCCGCTAGCAGCACGTTTGCTACCTAATGTTCTGCGACTGCTCTGCGAAACGTTTTAATAAGTTACGCTGTGACTTGAGGGTAGCCGAGCCTACAGCTATTGCTAAGGCTACCATATGCTAACAGTGTTTGTTTAGTTTTTTTCTAAATAAATGACGGCCTTATTTACTGGTGGCTAGACTCTTAGGCACTCTAGCCTAGCATACATGCTTATAACACTTTAAGTCAAGTGGTTATTAACATCAACAGGCGTTTACTAGCTAACAGAAATCACATGATGGTAGGAAAGGATGGATCTCTTGGTTGGTTTGAGGCTGAGCTTTGCTGCTGGCTCTTAGTCGGTCAAATCGCCAGCTTGAGTATATCTGCGTAACGTATGGTAAGTCTGGGAAATGGCTATTGGGAAGGGAGTTGTGGTAATACTTTATCATAAATATTGGCGTCCCCAGAATGCCAGAAGTTTCTTTTTGAGCTATCGCTGATATCTTCCGTGTCACTGTCGGGAAGTAACCCAATAGGTTGATTCGAGTCCAAGCGGGAAGTAGGAGTTGACGAGGGTGTAGCTT